TGGGGTGGGGTGGGGTGGGTGGGTGGGGGTGTGGGGTGGTGTGGTGAGCGCCAGGGAGTCCGCGCAGGCGGGGGATGCCCCAGGCGACACGGGGAGCCCCAGGGACACCACCAGCTGCAGGCAGGCGCGTGCTGTCACCACCGCCACCAGCACAGCGCCCCCCCGGCGCGGCGCCCCCAGCATTTGGCAGCGGCCCCCACCTGCATGCGCGCCTCCAGGTTGACGATGTCGAAGCCCTGGATGTGGATCTCAAGCGGCACGGGGCGCACGCCTGCGTGTGTGTGTGGGGGGGGGGGCGCAGCCGGGGCGCGGGGTGTGTGTGGGGAGCGGGGCAGGGTGGAAGAGGGAGGCTCAGCCGGGGCAGCCGGGGAAAGCGGGTGCTGCACACACTAGCCCCTTGACTGCAGAGAGAGGCGCGGTGGCTTGCAGTGCTGGCTTCTGCCGGCCCCAGCGCGGTGCCACTCACCGGGCGGGAAGTTGAAGAGGCCGTGGCTGGTAGCGCCCACCCACTCCCCCACGTCCTTTGCGTTGGCCAGCGAGGTGGCCAGTGCCACGATGCGGATGGGGCGCTCCGCCTGGCTGCTGATGTACCGCATGCGGCTGGTGATCACCTGCGCGCAGGCGGGGGCGAGATGCGGCGGGTCAGCAGGCAGGGCGCCCATTCCCGAGGAGCGTCCATTCGCGAGCAGCAGGGCAGGGAGGGCGGGAGCAGCTTCTGGGGGCACCCAGCAGGGCCAGCCAACAAGCAGGGCCAGTCGACAGCCGGAGCCAGGCGCGCGGGTCCCCAGCCGGCCAGCACCCACCTCCAGCGCCGCGCCCTGCGGCCCGCCCAGCAGGTGCATCTCGTCCACAATGAACAGCGGCACATCCTGCGCCGCCTTGCGCTGCTTCCACCGCCGCGACAGCATGTCCCAGTGCTCGGGGGTGGCAATCACGATGTTGCCCTGCACCAGAGGGGGAGGCGGTGTGCAGGGCATGCTCGGGCGGCGGCAGCCCGCGGCGGAAGCAGAGCAAGCAACGCTAGACCCCTCCTCTGCTGCAGCCACCCCCCATGCCTGCAGGCAAGCCCCCACCACATCCAGCACGCGTGCGCCCAGCAGCAGTACCAGCGGCACCAGCGCCAGCACCCACCTTCTCCAGCAGCTTCAGGTCCGCCTGCGCCTCCCCGCTGAGCTGCACCACGTTCAGGCCCAGCCCCTGCCCAAACCGCTTGCCCCAGTCGGCAAACCGCTCCTTGGCGATCGATTCCAGCGGCGCAATGTACACGCAGCTGCAGGGGGGCGGGCAGGGTGGCGCGGGGTGGGGTGTTGGTAGGGGGCAGGCAGGTGGTGGTCGCAGGCGGCGCCAAGCGTGCAAGCGACGGCAGGTCACCTGGGAGCCGCTGGCAGGCGGCCAGGCAGCACACGCAGCACCGAGGCAACTGTGCACGCGAGGCCGGCCGCCGCGCCTCCCCAGCACCCGGCCTGCCCCCCACCTCCCAACACCCCGTCACCCAGCCCCCAGCGCGGCCCCCAGCCCCGCCGCCGCTCACCGCGCCGTGCACTTGCCCTCCGCCGCCTGCTGCACCATGCGCAGCAGCGCAAACTCCGCGCAAATGGTCTTGCCCGAGCCGGTGGGCGCCGCCACCAGCGCGCTGTCGTCGGTGTTGTACAGGGCGGTGAAGACCTGCGGGGGGTATGGGGTGGAGGGTGGGGGGACAGAAACAGGCGGGGGGGTCAGGCGGGGTGGAAGCAGCGCAAGAGGGTGTGGGGGGACAGGAAACGGCGGGGGGGATTGGAGAAGTCAGGCAGGGCGCTGGGCGGGCGCCGGCGGCGAGGGGCTTGAAGCCGGGCCGCTGGCCATGGCTGGCGGCGTCCGGAGGAGGATGAAGAGGATGGTCAAAAGGAGGCGCGGCAAGCGGGCGGGCGGCCGGGGGGGGCAAGGCACCCCGCAGCGCACCTGTGTCTGTATGGGGTTGAAGTGGGTGAACTGCGTGTACAGCTTTTCAAACTCAGGGTTCCTGCGGCAGCGGAGGGCGGGGAGGGGCAGGGAGGCTCAGCTGGGTGCATCGAAGGCAAGCGCTGCAAACGCACCCGGCCGGCAGCTGCCCACCCACACCTGCGCCCAGACCGGCCCTTGCAGGACCCCGCACGCCGCCGCCAGCACCCAGCAACCCGGCCCTGCCCCAGCACCCAGCAACCCGCCCTGCCCCATGCACCCAGCAACCCGCCCCCCCACAACACACCCACCCACCTGAGCGCCGACACGGGCAGCGGCTGCAGGTCCAGCAGCTCGGTGGGCGGCGCATACTTCTCGGGCAGGATGAGGTGGCGGAAGGAGACGGGCAGTACAGACTCACACCCCAGCCACTTGTCGCTCACCACCTGTGGGGGGCCGAAACGGCGGCAGCAAGGGGCAGCAAGGGGCGGCGAGGTCAGCGCACCGTGGGAGATAGATAGGCAGCACAGCAGTCAGCGGCAGCGGCAGCGGCGGCGGCAGTCGCGGATGCAGAGCCGCGCGAGGGGCATGTGTAAGGCCCAGCGCTGCTGCAGCCCTGCCAGGCGCGACCCGTGCCGAGCCGCCGCTGTGCACGCCGCCACCTGTCCCGCCCACACCCCGCCGCCGCACCTTGACAAAGTACTGGGGAGGCAGCGGCTCGGCCACGGGCAGGGTGAAGGTCACCAGGTGGTCCTCCTCGGCCAGAGTCTTCTTGAGCAGGAAGTATTCGTGATGCAGAACGTTCTCTGCGGGTAGGCAGGCAGGCGGGAGGCGGGTAGGCGGGGGTGGCGGCGCGGCGCCGGCCACGCCAGGGAGGCAACGCAGCAGCAGGCAGGCGCGGTGATTGGCATGCCAGCTCCCGGTCTGACGCTGCACCTGCAGTTCACATCAAAGCGCTTGCAGGGCTGGAGCGCAGCTCTCCCGTCCGTGTCGCCCCACCGCCCCCACCCACCCACAACCAACCAACACACACACACACACCACCCACCGCTGTCGCTGTCCTCCACGATGATCCAGAAGGGCTCCACCACGCCGTGCACCTTGTCGTCCCACTGCGCGGGGAGGGGGGAGGGCGGCAGCGCGAGGCGGGCGGCCGTGAGCGGACTCATCACAGCCTTGCAGCAGGCGGCAGGGAGCAGCGCCAGCAGGCCACCCGACCAACGCCCCCACACACACATCGACTCATGGCATCCCCCCACCCCCGCCCACACACAAAAAAAAATTATCATCCCCCCGGAGCCCCCACCTGGAAGTCGGGCGTGATGGTGAGGTCCACCTTGAGCACGGTGCGGGTGATGGGCTGCACGTGCGCCGACAGCTCCAGGCGAGGGAACTGGTGCACCAGCCTGCGGCGGGGGGTGGAGGGGGCGTGGGGCGGCGGCCGGCCATGGGCGGCAGGTCGGGTGGGCGCGTCCGCCGTGCCAAGTGCGGCATGCAGCCCCGCCCAGTTTAGGGTGAGGCAACCCTAAATGCACCGCCCTGGCTCCTGGCCGCCCGTGCGCTGCCCCCCTCACTTGTGCACGGTCTTGCCCATCTTGGGGAAGCGGATGAGCTCGCCAATCTCCTGGCTGTTGAGGTCGTACCAGCGGTCCCACGCCAGGTCCTTCTTCTCAATCTGCGGTACCAGGCAGTACAGGGGTGAGCAGAGCAGACGATCAGGCAGGAAAGTCGATGCCCCAACAATGCTGCACTGCGGGTTTGGCAGAGTGCCAGGCTGGCGCTGCATGGGCTCTGTCCTGCAGGCTCGGCAGACCAAAGCAGGCAGGCCCCCCAGCAGCACCACCACCGCCAGGCTGGTCTAGGCCACACCACCCCCCACCCACCCACCTTGGCCAGTATCTCGTACGGGATGCCCTTGAACTGGCGCAGCGGCGTCTGCGACCCCCACATGCGCCGCATCACGCACTTGCTCAGCATCAGCGCCTTGTCGGTCAGCCCCGCCCAGCCGCGCCGCAGGCACACCTCAAACAGGCACCGCATCAGGCGGCCCGCTGCGGGCGGCGGGGGGGGCGGGGCACAGGCATAGGTGAGGCCGCGTGCTTACAACAGGCCGGGCTGGCATGTGCCTCCGCCTTGAGCGCGCCCCGCTCCTTCCCAAGCGCCAGGCACCCCTATCCCCAAAAGAACAGGGTGCATTATCACCCCCATCCAGGCAGGCGCCCAGCACATACGCACGCACGCACACACACACACACACACACACACCACCCCCCGGTCCTCACCGCTCTGCGTGACGTACACCATGTCGCTCATGAGCGCCAGCCCCTCCAGCTTCAGCTGGCTGATGTAGGCCTGCAGCAGCACGTTGATCTTGGCGGTGGGCTCGTCCAGGCTCTCCTTCACGGGGATGGGCACCCGCTCAATCAGCTTGGCAACCTCCAGCTTCTCCTCCTGCGAAGGCCATGGGGGGGAAAGGGGGGTCACCGTGTGCACGCGCTAGTTGCTAGGCGCGGCGGCGGTGGGGCGCGGCGGGGTGCGGCACCTCCTTGCGCCCCCCTGCCAAACTCAGGCCAACGAGCGGCTGGCGGCGGCCCGGAGCGGCGGGATCAGCGGGCAGCAGCGGGCCACACGCAGGTGCGAGAGGAAGGCAGGAGCCCAGGAGGCGCCCGCGAGCGTGACACCCACCTCCCGCACCACCATGTACTTGAACTCATCTGCCAGCGCAAACAGGCGCAGCAGCTCGATCTCGCCCATGGTGGGCTTGAGGTGGTCGTTGAAGGAGGAGATGGTGCGGTACGACACGTAGTACTGCGAGGCAATCCTGCGGTACGCCAGGGCGGTACACAGGCGGCGGCAGGAGCCGGGCCGTCAGCAGGGCGCCGGCGCCGGCAGCGGGAAGGAGGCAGCGCACCGGCGGCAGCCGCAACACCGGGCATCCGTCCCGGGGCCTACCAGGCCATACCTGGCACCGCGCAGGCCCACCCCCTGGCCCAAACCCCTGCCCACCAGCGCTGTGCCTACCCCCTGCCCCCCGCCCACACCCACCTGCCCAGGTCTGTGGCCTGCAGGTTGCCCGAGCGGCGGTCGTACTTGACCAGGTTGTGGCGGTCCAGCATGACGGCGGCGGAGTGGGCCAGGTCCATGCGCCGCTCCTGCAGGTGGCAAGGCGCGGGGGGGAGCAAGCACGAGCACGAGTCGGCAGCCAGCCCGCAGCGCCCCCCACACCCCCGCACACAAACCCACCCAGACCCCCACCATCACGACCACACACACACACACACACACACACACACACACACCACCACACCACCCCTCCAACCCAACCACCACCCCCACCTGCATGAGCGGGTCTGTGTCCAGCGCATCGATGGGCACGCCGTACAGCTGCGGGTTGCACAGCATGCGCACATAGAGGTAGCTGCGAGGGGGGCGGGGTGGGCAGGAAGGGGAGTGGGCAGGGATGAGGTGAGTGCAGCCAGGCAATACCCGGTCGGCCTGGCCGCACGCCGCTGCCGCCCGTCTGTCCCCAGCCACACCAGAAACCGGAGGCCGCGCCCCTGGGCTGCCTTGCCGCGCCACGCCCGCACGCACGCGCCGCCGCATCCCCTCCGCTCCCCCACGCCGTGCTGCTTTGCTCACGTGTATCCCAGCCACGAGGCGGCGTCCCGTATGTTCTGCACGGTACCCAGCACCACCTCGGCATTGAGGTTGTCGGGTATGGTCTGCACGTACTGCGACTCAATGGGCAGCTGCATGTTGAAGAGCGACAGGTAGAACTGCAGCTCGGTATGGGCTGCAGCAGGGGGGGAGGGTGGGGTAGGTGCGTGGGTTCGTGGGTGGGTGGGCGGGGCATGTGGCAGGCCAGTTGTGGGGGACATGGCAGGCCACAAGCTGCGGGCAACGAGCCTGCCCGGGGGAGCGCCCGCGCCATCCCTTGTGGATGGCGCGGGTGTTGCGGGTATGGCGGGAAGGCCGCGGGCCCAAGGCAGGCGCCTCCCAGCGTGGCGGGGGAGGCCACCCGGGGCTCACAGGTGATGATGATGCCCTCCCCAAAGGTGTCGAACTGCGGGCGCCCCGCGCGCCCAAACATCTGCATCACGTCCAGCGGCGACAGCTCCATCCACGCCGACTTGACCGGGTTGTACACCTGGAGGGGGGAGGGACGAGGCGAGGGGGCAGGGAGACGGGGCCAGGGCATGCTCATGTGCGGAAGGGCCCAGGCAAGCCCGCGGCACATATACGGGAGCCAGCGGAGGCAGCGCGGCAGACGACGGGCACAGAAACAAGCGCCAGGTCGCTTCCACAGCGCCACCTCGGCGCCAGCTGGGCGCCACCTCGGCGCCACCTCAGCGCCGCCCACCTGCGTGCCCTTGATGATCACGGTGTGTGCCGGCAGGTTGACGCCCCAGGCCAGGGTGGCGGTGGACACAAGCACCTGCAGCCACAAGGAGCGTGCGGGGCGGGTGATGCGGCGAGGGTGATACCGACAGCGATGGCGGCACCACGCCGGCCATGCGTGCGACTTTTGCACTGACGGCACAGCCCCGCCGGCCAGCCCGGCCCTTGCTGCAGACCAGCCAGGGACGCACAGCCCCCCAGCACCCAACCCACCTGGATGTGCCCGTCGGCAAACAGGTCCTCCACCAGCGTGCGGTCGGCGCGAGCCATGCCTGCACCGCCACACCACACACGGCGCGGGCCGGAGGCAGCGTCAGTCGGCGGCGGCGGGCGGCGCAGGGCGAGGCAAGCAGGCGACACAGCGCCGTCTGGCGACACCCCTGACCATGCACCGCCACCAGCACCACCACCAGCATCGCCACAACAGGCAGGCAGGCAGGCAGGCAGGCAGGCAGGCTGGCAGGCGGGCGGCCGGGCAGGCAAGCAGATGGGCAGGCAAGCAGGCAGGCAGGCAGGCGCATGCTTTCACACCGGCGTGGTGGATGCCAAACCCGTAAGGCAGCAGCTCCTTGAGGTCGCTGTTCTTCACGCCCTCCGCCTCGGTCTGCACGCAAGCAAGCGAGTAAGCGGTGGTGGTGGTCGGGAGTGTGTGGGAGGGTGGCATACAGCATGGCAGCGGGCACGTGATCGGGCGGCGTTCTGCTGCGACGGCGGCGCCGCTCCCAGGCAGCCCCCTCGCTGTCAATGGTGTAAAGAGGCACCACCACCACGTGCCGCCCCACCCTCCACCAACACCACCACTCGACACCCCACCATCACTGTCGCCCCCACTCGCCACCCCACCACCACCGGCGCTGCCGCTTGCCACCCCGCCCACCTGCAGGATCTCCCTGGAGGCGGAGTCGTCGCGCAGGATCCGGGCCAGCGAGTCGTTCTTGAGGCACTCCTCCTTGAGGAAGCGACCCGTCTTGGCCGTCTCCTTACGGCTGTGCACAAAGATGAGCACCTGGTGCTTGCCTGCCGCCTCCATGACCTGCGGGGTGTGGGGGTGGGGAGGGGAGGATAGGGAGGCAATGGGGAACACACACACGGGGGGGAAGCTGCCCTGCTCATCGGGCAGCACTCAGCGGGCTGCGGCAGTCCAGGGCGACGGCTGTCCGACACCCAGCACCACCGCCACCGCCTCCCACACCCCTCACACCGCAACACACACACACACACACACCTTGTTGTAGCAGATCTCGTTCATGAGCTGGAAGCGCTGCAGCGGCTTCTTCACAGTCACGCCGATGTACTGCTGGGCCAGGGGGCAGGGCCTGCAGGGGGGGTGGCGGTGGTGGGGGTGGTCAGGGCAGTATGTGTGTTGGGGGACGGGGTGAGGGGACATGGGGCCGCCGGCTCGAACGGCATGCCCCGGCAGCCGGCACAGGGGGCGGAGTGAGGAAGGGCCCTGTGATGCGCATGCCGGCCAGAAGGCACGCCCAGCCAGGGATGGCTGACAGCCACACCCAGCCTGGGACTGCCCCCGGCCAAGGCCGCCGCCGCAGGGCCCCGCGGGCACACCTGAATGAGTTGTCGAAGTAGAAGAGCCCCTTCTCGGCCTTGACCCTCAGGAAGGAGGCCACGTCCTCAAAGTTGGGCAGCGTGGCGGACAGGCCCACCAGGCGCACCATCTCCTGGGTGGTCTGCGGTCCAAGAAAGCGGTGGAAGAAAGCGGTGGGAGACAGCGGGAAGTGGAGGGAGGCGGGCACGGAACGGCAGGCGCGTCGGGGACGGCCGGCCTCGCCGCCGCTCGCACTTGCAGCGCGCAGGCAGCCCGCTGCCAGCAGAGTGCGGGCCACCGGCCGCGGTGACCAGGCCACCACAGAGGGGGGATGCCACATCAGGCCACCGCACCCCACACCAGGCCACGCCGCCCCGCCCTGCCCCCTCACCTCAATCTGCCGCACTGTGCGCGCCACGATCGACTCCAGCACCGCGCCGCGGTCGTCGTGCAGGAGGTGGATCTCGTCGATGATGACCAGCCGCACCAGCTGGGTGTAGGTGCGGTCGCCTGCGGGGCGTGTGTGGGGTTGAGAGTGGGTTGTTGCGGAAAGGCTGACACAGGAGGCGCAGGGTGCGGGCCCAGGGGCGAGCCCCCGGATACCCCATGCCTGCCCCCAGCTGCTGCAGCCACACATGGCCGCCGCCGCAGCGGCAGCAGCCCCGAAGCAGCCCAGCCTGCAGGCAGGTGGGCAGTACAGCCTGCAGGTATGCGGGCTGCGGGGGAGGCGGGCGGGCACCCACCGCTCTTGCGCGTGATGATGTCCCACTTCTCGGGCGTCGCCACGATGACCTGCGTCTCGTCGATCTCCGCCTTGGTCAGAGACATGTCGCCCGTCAGCTCTCGCACCTTCACCTTGTACGGCTCCAGCCGCTTGCCAAAGTTGCCCACCATCTCCGCCACCAGCGCCTGCGCGGAGGCAAAGGCGGGGGGGGGCACGAGGGCAAGGTCGGTCCACAGTGGACAGCGGCGGGGCTCGAGGGTGGCAGCGCCTTGCCTCGCCGTCCCCCCCAGCAGCCACGCAATGGTGATGCTGCACACCCGCGGGCAGCAGCCCAGGAGCAGGGCGAGAGGGGCCAGCCCGCCAGCCCGCCAGCCCGCCCACCTTCATGGGTGCCACGTAGATGATCTTGAAGGCGGCGGTGTCGATGGAGCCGTCCTCGCGCCTGCAGTGCAGGGCGGGGCAGGGGTGGACAGGAGGCAGAAGCGCACGCTTCGGCAGCAGAGGCGGCGGCGGCAGCAGCTGCAGCTGCAGCGGAAGCGGCGGCGGAGGCGCGGGCGGGGGCGGGCGCTCTGCCCCACGGCGGCGCCCGCAGCGGGGCCGGCCCCCAGGCACCAGCCCTGCCCCGCCCCGCCCTGCACTGCCTGGGCCCTCAGGCACCAGCAATCCCTGCCCTGCCCTGCCCTGCCCTGCCCTGCCGCGGCTCCCATCCCCAGGCAGCCAGGCGCCGCCTGCCCATCCCCCAACCCCAGCCCCAGCCCCAGCCCTCACCTGTGCAGCCCGATCTCGTGCAGCATGGCCAGCATGGCAACGTTGGTCTTGCCCGCGCCGGTGGGCGCACACACTAGCATGTTCTGCGGCGGGAGAGGCGGGGCAGGAGAGGGGGAGGTGGGAAAGCAGGCGCAGCAGGGTGGGGATGCCAGGCAAAGGGAGACGGGGGGCAGGCTCCAGACAGGCAGGTGTACATGCGGTACAGTTGCGGTACGGCTGCAGTACACGCCGCCCACCTCTGCGCTGTACAGCGCGGTGTCGCACACGCGCGACTGGATGCGGTTGAGGCTCTTCATGCCCTTGAACCCGGGCTGCGCCCACTCGGGCAGGCTGCTGATGTCCACCAGCGTCTCGCCTGCAGAGGGCGAGGGCAGGCAGGCAGGCAGTGTCAGTGTCACAGCAGCGGGGGAGCCGGTGCGCAGAGGGCTGGCGAGTGGAGGAGACGGGGCGCCTTGGGAGGGACCGGGCTCCCGGTGCACTCCGGACGGTCGGCAGCAGCGAGCACAGGCGAGGCAGCGCCGCCGCTGCAGCACTCACCGTCGGCAAAGGGCTTGGGCTTGAGGGCGGGCACGTGCACCTCCTCGTACCCCTTGTGTACTGTGCGGTACGATCCCTGCAGGAGGCGGTACAGCCACCGGCGCAGCCCGCATCAGGAAGCCGGCATGCATGGGGGCCGGCCCAGCACGTGGGTGCCTCAGCGCAGCCCTCGCCTGACCTCCCCCTGCTGCAGCACCCTCCCCCCAAACCTCGCAAGCCCGCATGAACCCTAACCCTGCACACCTGCGGCAGCGTGCACTGCTTGCTGCTGTTGAAGTGGGAGCCCTGGGCAAAGGAGAGGTTATCAAGGTCGATGGCTTTGCGGCCCGCAGCAGCGGCGCCGCCCGCGCCGCCGCCCTCGCCGCCCTCCCCCTGCCGCAGGCGCCGCGCCTCCTCGCGGATCGACCGCTCCACCGCGCTCTGACGCTCCCGGGCTGCGGCAGGCGCGGCGGGGCAGGCAAGGTCAGTGCTCCTCCGTGCCTGCCAGCACACAACACGCAACACACACACACACATGCCCCTCGATACGCTGGCCACGGCCACCAAGTGCCACCCCAGCGGGCTCCGGCAGCCAGCCAGCCAGCCAGCCAGGCGCACCTGAGGCACGGGTGGCGTGCAGCGCGTCCAGGATGGCTCGCGTCTCGGCGCCCGCCTCCATCTCAGTCTCCACACGCTGCCGCTCCTCATCGTTCTGCGGGGGAGGGCGGGGAGGAGAAGAGGGGCAGAGCGGTTGCGACGGGCGAGCTGCGGAGGGCAGGCGGGCGCTGGGAGACGGGACGGCACAATGCCACAGGCGCGGCGGCCCGGGCAGCGGCAGTACCGGCGGCACCGGTACCGGCGGCGTACCTCTGTGCGCGCCAGGCGCATGCACCACACGATGCGCAGCCGGTTCTTGAGCAGCTCCTTGATCAGCTCGAACCTGGGGGGTAGAGCAGCAGGGCGGGGACGAGGGTGGGGGACAGGGCAAGGGAAGAGGACAGAGTGGCGGGAGTGCGATCGAGTCCCCACTGAGCGGCTCTGCGGAGCTGCTGTGCTGGCATTTGAACAAGCCTCCAACACGCACCGGCACCTGCGCGCGCATGGTACCACACCACACCACAATGTGCCGTACTGTACCACATCATACCATACCGTACTGCACCCACCTGTCAAAGTCCAGCAGCATAACCAGCCGGTTCTCCACCTCTCGGGCATCCGGCATCTGCAGGCGGCGCGCGCAGGGCAGGCGGGGGCAGGCGGCGGTCACTCCACAGTGGGGAACGGTTGGCGAGCGCCGCCAACGGCGGCGGCCACAGCCGCGCAGCAGGCTCCGCGGCAGCACTCCCCGCTGCAGCGGGCAAGAGGCCCCACGCGGAGCACCTAAACATGTAATATTTGTTAAATAAACATGCCACGCACCTGCAGCGCTGCAAACGTGTCCTCCCCAAGCTTCTGTGCGGCGTTGGGGTCGATGTCGCCGAAGGCCTTGCTGATGCGGCGCTGCAGCCAGTAGGCGTCAATCTCCTGCGGGCGGCGGCGGGGAGCGGGGGCGCCGCAGGCGGCGGCACGGCGTGCGTCAGCGGCGCCCATTGCGAGGCAGGCAGGCGGCCGGGCGCAAGATTACACGGGGCAGGCGTGCCAGGCGGGACGTGCGTGGGCACATGCACGGCAGATGCCAGGCAGGGCGCGGGCGGGATGTGCGCGCTGTGCCACCCCACCACACACGCACACACAT